TCATCGGCGAACTCTTCTCGGAGTTGCTCCTCGGACTTCCTATTCAGTGCCTCATCCCTGATCCTGTCCAGCTCCTGGGTCAGAGCCAGGCAGCTTTCCTCCGAATCAACAGCCCTCTCCTCTGCCGCAGAGAGCCGCTGCGTCTGTTCTGTTATCCTCCTCTCAGCGTCGGCAAGGGCAGCACTTAGCTTTTTAGCGCTGACCTTCGCCAACTCGGCCTCCTTGAGGAGTTGCTCGATTTGAGCAGTCTGCCCCGCGAGGGTGGAATCCCTTGCAGCGACATCCTCCCTAGCACTGGCAAGGGCTCCCTCGGCTTCTTCCTTCTGCTCTCGAACCCGCTGAAGGTTCATCCTAATCCCATGGTACCGCGCCGTTATTATGGAAATTTGTTGGGTGACCTGCAAATGAAAGAGCATGTCACTAAAAGGAAAATTGGGGCTAAAAGAGACTGAAGCAAAGATGAACTTACCACCAAAGAATTTTGGATGATGGAGCGAAACAACACATTTGTTGATCGTCTCCTGTGAGCCGCCATGTCGGCCTCGAAATGCAGCGTCTCACTCACTGCATTGGCGACATGAGGGTCCTGCAAAATGGAATTGTCGACCCTAATCACTCCGTCCATGTGATCAGTGGCTCGAGGGTTCCACTCCGCAGCTTCCACTGTCTGCGGAAGAGGAGGAGTCTGATGTCGCCGCTGTTGTTGTTGCTGTTGTCGCTGCTGTTGTTGTTGTTGCTGAGGAGCAGGAGGTAACCCACGGCCTCTCCCACTTTGCTGCTGAGCGGGGGAGGCCTTGGATCCCCTCTCAAGGTCGTCGTGCCTATGTTTGACCCTTCTCTCCTCCTCTATCTGAGGATCTCGGTCACGCACCTGACCCCGACTGGCGACTCTTGAGGAGGGGGTGGCGCTGGTCCCTGCAGATGGGGTCCCACCGGTCGATCCTCGTCCCCTCCTAGCAGCGAGGGCTTGCCTCTGCCTAAGGAACCCTAAATCAATACGGGGCGCGCTGGACATAGCTACCTCAAGGGCGTCCTCGACGTCGAGAGATTGTAGGATTTGGAAGTCCGGCCAGGAATCTCTCCCCGAAGTCCCCACCTCGGCGTGCGTAGGAACCAAGTCCTCTTCGACCCCGAGCTCTTCAGCTTCACCCTCAACTTCAGCCTCCGAGACCTGATCAGGGTCTTCTTCCAAGTTCTCCTCGACTTCTTGCCCCGTCGCCTGATCAAAGAGTTCAGACCACCGAGAAGGCTCAGAAGACTGGGGAAGTTGCGAAAACTTTTTATACCCGGGGGTGTAATTCAGGAGGATGTGGGCAGCCCGCCCGAGCCCGTTGTCGCCAGTAAAATTCCAAACAGTGATTAAGTCAGCGAAATTCACCGACGATAGGGGTGGAGGTGCTATTTCCCGAGGGGAGATGTCTGCACAAGCAAAAAGAGGGGAGAGGGTCATGAGCATGTAGAAAATTTCAGAAACAAAATAACAAGGCCCGAAGGAACCGACGTATTTGTCGTTCTCCATTCCAATGGACATAACAAGCCGTCATACTCGGGACCGACACCTCTCTGCCAAGATCCCCTGAAGATGAGTAGGTCATCCTTGTACCCCTTGTCCGAGTTAGGAAGGTGAGTTACAAGGTACATAGATGGGTCTCTGGCTTTGAGGTAGAAGTGTTGTTGAGGCGTGACTCTCAAAGGGGAATAACAAAAAAGGATATCGTTCAGCCCGACGTTTACCCCAAGACGCCTATTGAGCTCTAGCACCCCCATAATTATCCTAAAGACATTAAGGCAACACTGCCCGGGAAAGAGGTGAAAATGAGAGAGGAACTGGAGAAGCAAAGGGGGCAAAGAGAACCTAATTCCGCCTTCTATAATGGCTTTAATATAAAAAGACATTGCATCCTCGGTACCGAGGGTACGAGGGTGCACAGCCGCATCATAATCCTCTATCTCTACATTTAGTGGAACGCCGTACCTAACCCTAAATCTATTAATTTGCTCACTACCTTTTTACTTTATACTTCCCTGGCCTCGAAGTACTAGCCTAAGGATTCTCAGGGGCAGAAACGACGACGAGGCATGTTCAAGAAGTGATAAAAATAGAGGGGATTTTTCCACGAAGATCCCCGAGAAGGCTTCCCGGGGGTCGATCGCTGGATGACAACCTGAAAACACCTCCGGTAATTGAAAAACCAAAAGAGACAGAAGGACAAAGAAATGGAGGATACTGGAACTCACCAGAGCATAAGAAGAGGTATTTTTCTGGAAAACTTGAATCGATTCCTTCCCAGAATGTTCAGAAACAAAGGATGAGTCTGCTAGCTTTAAAGTT